CTCAACTAAAGAGGAATCATGAAAAAAAAAAAAAATGGAAGTGACTGTAGTCCCAAGATTGTGTGGCACTGAGTAATGGCAGTGGAAATAATAAGACAGGTATTTAAGTAATTTTGGCATACTGTCACAGATGAAGATCTTCATTTAGCAAGTCAAGTCTTACATATGCAAGTGATAGTAAACAATGTAAGCAGCTCTGAAAGAGCAGAAGGATTGATATGATGGTGGAAAGAAAAGCCAAAGTGATTAGAATTTGAAAAGCATCTAGAGACTTGGAGAGAAATAAGAAGCCCAAAAAGAATAGGAAAAAGAGAAACAAGAGGAAATGATGAGCATTAACAGAAAAGGGACTAGAGAGAAATAATACTAATAAAAAAGAATATAATAACCAGATCAGAACAGCAGAGATTCATTAATATGCATTGCCCATGTCTAAAAAGTGATGATGATTATATACATTTTACAGAAATTAGAGAAATCACAAGAAGGTTCTAAATCCACATTTGTACATTTATTTACCAAAAAAAATGAAGAGTTAAAAAAACAGTAAGGTAGGCTTACATACCAACATTTTAGAAATATAGTGGAAGAAGCTACTCGAAATGTTGCTGAGACTATCTTAATATAAGGAGTACTGAGGAAAAACTATAACATTTCTAAAATGGTACAGCCTGTCAAATAGCATCATAGCTTGAGGTGACATTAAGGTTCACAAAAAAGTAACATTCAATTATGATAAAAGCTATATTCTAAAATGTATATTGGTCAAAACTATGGTTACTAGATCCTCCCCTTTCCAAGACCAAGGTTATACTAAGTACTGTTTCTTAAGATAAGGAAATGGAGTAACAGACATACATCAGTGAAATATCTCAATCTAAACAGAAAAAGTGAAAAACCTTTCTAGAATCCCAAACTGATGGTTATCAGATGGGAGGGGGCTTGGGGGACTGAGTGAAGGGAATAAGAAATACAAATTGGCAGTCACAGAATAGTCAAGGGATGTAAAGTACAGCATAGGTTATATAGTCAATAATATTGTAATAACTATGTATAGTGCCAGGTGGGTACTAGAATAATCAAGGGGATCACTTTATAAATTATATAAATGTCTAGCTACTATGCTATACACCTGAAACTAATATAAAATAATATTAAATGTCAATTGTAATTAAATAAAACCACAAAATCATTTAAGGAAAAACCTTTCTAGAAGCTACTGTGAAAACTGAATAAAATGCTGAATGAATTCCAAAATGAATGTAAAATGCATTCATCTTTGAGGCAAAACAGGAAAGAAAATGAGGAAAAACAAGGAAAAAATTCACCTTGTAAATGGAGCAATTTCTTTTCAAGGAAATGGCAGAAGTCAAAAAAGAAAATAAGCCAGGGCATTCTTCTGAAGAACTGTGGATTTAATACAACTATAAGCAAAACCTATAATATGCAGTTTGAGCCAGATGGAAACCAAAGCAAAGTCTCTTAAAATCAAATGAATGCCTCATGAAGAATGAACTGCTGCCATCTTCATAACAGTACCTGGAGACTGGAGATGAGTTCATTTTTTTTTTTTTTGAGAAAAAATAAAATTTTATATATACCTAACACTATGGCTACTCACAGGAAAAGCAAAGAGAGTTTCCCATCATCTCTACTATATTGGTGGTCTGATATTCAAAACTCTGTATGTCAGATTAAGAAGCCAATGAGGTTTAGTCAGAGAAACAAGGACATCTAAAGCAAACATTTTTTAAAAAATTTTAATTAGTTTCAAGTATACAGTACATTGGTTAGACATCTATATAGTTTATAAAACGATCCGCTCCCAATTGCTCCCTCCCTTCCCTGACCCTCCACCTAGCCAACGTATTCATTCTAATTGCATTCCCTATGCCGTGCTCCCTATCCCCGTATCCATCAAGCCTGTATTACAGAAAATGTTGGAGAGACTTCTTTAAGACGAAAAAACATGTATCAAAAACAGGAATAAAGAATGGTAACAACTACATTCCTATTAATAAGTACCTCAAATGGAAAAGAATTAAGAGCTCCAACTAAAAGACTGGATGAATGGAAAGGAAAATAAGACCCCTACATGTTGCCTGTAAGAGACTCATTTCAGATTAACAGACACAGACTAAAAGGAAGGGGATGGAAAAGCATATTGCTTTAATGGACCTAGAAGGTATTTAAGTCAGACAGAGAAAGAAGAATACTATATGATTTCACTTATATGCAGAATCTAAGGAATAAAAAGAACAAACTCATCAAACACAGACTCACAAATATAGTGGACAGTTTGGTGATGGACAGAGGGGAGGGAAGTTTGGAGGGCTGAGAGAAGGGAGCAAAGCAAACATTTCTTAACTATCTCAAACTTTTCTTGTTTTTCTTTAAGAAACTATGAAGCTAAATTGGTTGGCTTCATATCTTGGCTTTGCCAACTTGCTAGCTGTATGACCTTGGCAAACTACTTACTCTCCTCTATAAAACAGAGATAATAACCTCACTGGGTTATTGTAAGGACTAAGTGATTTAATATATGTTAAGAGCTTAGAACAGTACCTGGCACACAATATGTACCATATAAATATTTGTTAAATAAAAATAAAAAATATTTATTAAGCCAAACCCTAGGCTCTGAGTACACAAAGATCAATACATCAAGATGCCTATTTTCAAAAAAGGCTGGGGAGGGAGATGAATGAATAAACAATCATTACAAAAGAATAAGAAAGGTGCTATGATAGAGATGAGCACAGTCCACTTGTGAGCACATAAAAAGGACATTTAACTTAACCACATCTTCATTCAGGCTGAGTCTTTGCAATGATGCCCTTCTTAACAGTAAGTAGACGTGTTGGCCAAATTTACCCAGTTCCCATAAGGAAAGAAGAGAAGATGCTTACCTTTGCTCTGCAAAGGGAATCCTGTTACAAAGAACAAACCAGATGGTATGGGAAACAAGGTGATAATCTCTACTTGGTATTCAAACTTAAACTTATTTTCCCTCTCTATGTTCAAATGGCAGAGTCTACAAGTGGCCTTTAACTCTCAATTCATTTTCATTGCATATAAGATATAATCTAAAACTTGACCACTAGGTACTTTTTGAAAACATGTTTTTAAAACTTTCTCATTATTAAGTCAAAATGAAAATTCAAAACTCTTTTTTTGGGGCAAACTGTTGTCTCCATATACTTGGCCAACATTTTCATTCTAGTATTTGTGATTTGTGTGTGTGTGTTGCCCCTCAAAGTTAAGGTTAAGGAGGGCGGTGTTAAATGTGATCAGTCTCTAGTGAAACCTCCAAGAATCACTAGCTTGAACAGAACACTAACACCTGAGAAAGTTTTCTTTTCCCCCAATTTCAGAAATAGATAGAAAAAGGATTAGGCCTCCTTATCTAGATGTCTTTAGAGACCCCTAGTGACAACTTCTTGACTTTCAGTACATGTCCTTAAAGTCATAAGACTCTATATTGGTCACTGAAAGGCCTCTCTGACTCTCCTCCCATATCCTTGACAATGGGTTGCCCTTCATTTTGGGGCGCTGTAACACACCTACATCATGCAGAGGGAGGGCGTAAAAACGCAAAAATTAAAGTAAAACATCAGAGCGCAACAGGCAAGGAACACTTTAAAAACTGTTTTCAAAGTGGCAGGATATATCCAGATAAATAATCAAGATCAACTGCCACCTTCCTCTGCATCATTTTATAGCCTAGGTTTTCAGAAAACAAAAGAAAATATTTCAAGTTAGAATACAAATAAACCATTCATACTTTGGCCATTTTTTATAAATGTTAGGACTTCAAAAGAAAAGCATATGCTAAAAATCAAATTTTACCACATTCCAGCAAAATTATTTCTTTTCCTAAAAAAAAATTTTACATATGCCCAAACTTTTTTCCCCCAGCATTATTGAAATATATAGACAATTAGTTGTTCGTATTTACATTGTATAATTCAATGAGTTTGAGTTTTTTTCAATTATAGTTGGCGTACAATAATATATTCATTTCAGTTGTACAGCACAGTGATTAGAGGTTTATATAACTTACAAAGTGATACCCCACTAAATCCATATGTCCAAACTTTAGGTTCAAAACTTGTTTACTTGGCCCAAACTCTTAACCCATCTGAGACAGTTGCCTCTAGGTTGAATAGCAATGGTGTTCTTTAGAAGGGCTGCAAAAAAACATTTAGGACCTGATACTATTCAAAGGGGGAAGATAACACTATAGTACATTATCCATGCTTTAATACCTAACATGAATGATTCTGACCCTACTACACAGTTTTTTCGAAAATATTTTACTATATAAGGCTTATCTTCATCCATTTGAAGACTTAAACTCATGTGGATATGAAAATGACATCAATTATCACTTTATAGAAGGCAAGATTTACGTCTTTAAAGTTTGTTTCACATTAAAGCTGGCAGGGTTCTGAACATTCATTTAATTACACAATATACACCATTTGATGATACATATATAAATATTTACCAAAAAACAGTCTCATATATTTATGTAATTAATATACATATATACAAACATAAAATCATGCAAAATATTCTAATTTTATTCAATTAAAGCTTTAAGTTACCAAGTCACTTTTATTATTCTAAAAATGTAAGCATGAGTTAGGAAAGGCTTATTAGTGTTTTCCATAATGACAATGAGTAACAAACAGCCCACCTGATCTTCATTAAGCAACAAAACAGTGAGTTTTCTTTACCATT